CCCTTCAAGTGGCAATGTGCCCCACTTTATTATTTTACTGTCTAATTAGATGTCAGACAATTTCACTTGTCAGGGGGAGAGTGCCGCCACTCAATGGGTTAATCAAACTATCCGTCCATGCACCCAACTAACCCTTCAAGTGGCAATGTGCTCCACTTTGGATGTCAGACAATTTCACTTGTCAGAGTGCTGTCACTCAATGGGTTAAGTGCTGCACCTTCCCTAAATTTATTTCCACTTCCCCCACTATTTCCACCAAAAATCAAAAATCCATCCTTGGTATTATGGGAACTGTTTTCATTGGGAGATTGTTGATGTACTCTAAGTGTGTTTCGTCAGTAATATTATCAATCATATAGTCAGTCTTGATATGCTTGCACTTATCTTTTCCTATTGTACCTAGAATCAACAGGATGATGATCTTACGAAGAAATATGTATCAAGAAATATGTATCTCCAAGATTTATATATCCACTGGGACCCTTGAAATGCACTCCCTGCATGATGTTTGTTGCTGAAGGAATGGTTGTCACCAAACTGAAAGCTGTAAATATCTTAAATATCTGTATTTTGTTTGCATATTGTATGTGTATAGTGCTGAAGGTGTAACTTGACAAAGTAAGAATGTGTTTTTATTTTTGGAACATATTCTTATTCCCTGCAGTGGAAAGAAGAGACTCACATGCATGTTGCTAATGCCAGTTGAACACTTAATTTCTTTTATGAAATAGAACATTGCAAGCATGCATGCATGCATGTCCAAGGGTATTGCATACATACAGTTGATTCCGTTTGACCGATAGATATATTTTTATACAATATATTTTCACACAACAGAGCATTAATTAATATACAATATGTGCATCAAATTAGGATTTCCATCAATGTTGGGATTGATTTTATTATAATTAATATTAGCCAAGTGAACATTATTTTGTGTGACCTCCTTTTGATTTTAGAAAATAGCTTTAACTCTTTCTGGCATAGTTCAACAAGTGTTCTAAGTACTACTGGCTTAAGGTTATTCCAGCATTGATTAAGGACATGCTATACAGTAGGTTGTCTTTACTTGTGGTATCATCTTTCACTCTCTCTTGTTTCAAATGGTCCCATAAATTCTCAATAGGATTTATGTCCCGAGATTGAGGAAGAAAATTTTGTAACAACTAAATCGCCTTTCTCATGCTGTCGTCTTAAATAATTTTTACACATGTGAGAAGGGTGGTTCGGATCATTATCCGTTGCAAGACAAATCTCCTTCCACACAACCTTGAGCTACTGTAGATCAGGTATAGTGTGATCTGGTTGTTCTGGATTTCTGCCTCAACTTCCAGCCGGACCTAAATCATATTGAGAATTTATGAAAGGTGAAACATAATCCCACAACTAAAAGCAGCCAACCAATAGCATGTTGTTAATCAATAATGCTGGAATAACCTTGAAAACCATCAATACTATAAGAAAAACCATATTAAACAAAAAACCATCAAAATTTGTTCAGTCTACATGTATGCCAGGAAGAGTTTAAGCTGTTTTAAAATCAAAAGGAGGTCACACAAATATCAATATAATATTCACTTGGCTAATATAGTATAATCAATTCCAACGGTAGTGTATATCCTTATTTGTTGCACATATAGTAGTGTGTTGTGTCAAAATTTATTGTATATCAATATAAAAAGGCAAGATCATATTGACTGGACTCAGACTTTTGACCAGTGGCGTATAAGGTGGCTTTTCAAGGTGACTTTTCCAACTTATTTAACTCCGAGGAGAAATGTCTGGGAAAATAATTTTCAGAATTGTCCAAGATTTCACTCCCAAAATGCTTGAAATCGCATTTCAGGGGATCTAGATTTTAAAATTTTCTTGGGGGTGCATGCCCCCGAACCCCCCCCCGTCCAAGACGGTCTCATGCCTTGCATGAGTTTGCCCCCCCCCCCCCTCCAAAATGAAGGTCTGCGTAGTACGCCACTGCTTTTGACCCCCACTGTATAACGATGAACTACTTGTAATGTGCAAGCCAGGAGAATCAAATGCGAAGGCCTTTGTCGTTATATTTTCTCTTTTTATAACAATCCTTTTATTTGAAAATTAAAGTAAGACGACGACAAATCAACTTCCATATCATCCTCCAAAATTATCAATCACAAAGATCAACCCATCTTCTCCAAGTAAAACAACATGATCTAGCAGCATGCGTTCGCAAAGCACGTTGGGCTGTGACAATGACAATATTTCTAAGGGGCGGGATTACAGTTGGCGCGCAATAGATAGAAGCCGTTTAATGCGTGCCATGCACTTTGTTGCCATTGTTGTTTTTGCTAAATAAAGTTATCGATAACTATGTCCATAGTGAAAGTTAATTATTGACGACTATTATGCTGCAAAGAGAGCAACGCTCGTTTTTATGATAGGAGAAAATCTAATGAGTTTCTTTTACAATGGATTCAAAACATGCACGTCTTACAACCGAAGTTGACGACACGGAAGTTGATTTCTCGTCGTCTTACTTCAACTTTCAAATAAAAGGATTGTTAGAAAAGGAGAAAAATATCACGATAAAGGCCTTCGCATTTGCTTCTCCTGACTTGCACATTACAAATATACAGTAGTTCATCGCTACATCAACAAAATCTTAAATTTGATTTCGTCTACAATATTACATCTCTGTTTGGAGAAATGGGCTTTCCGTTTTGAAAACAACGGCCTTTCTTGTTTATCCGCCACATTTCTCTAAATCCAACTGTAATCCCGCCCCTTTGGCTCTAGAATTTACGGTCAAACGGAGTCCGCTGTGACATATGAAATGGTTCTCTGACTGCATGCATGAAATATTTATTTTCACAAGTTTTGGCTATATGACTTGATAGCCTTCGACGAGTGAATATTGTAGAAATATTTACAGTCAGAGAGGTTTCGTGTGACGTTTCATCCCTATAAGTTATTAATATATATAATATTGCATATACTGTATATTTATTTTGTATTTTAATCTTAATATTTATTTGTTAATAAATTATTGTTTTTCAAGCACGTTTTGAATGGTTAATGGCGAAATGGAATGCAATTTTGATCATTTTAACCAATTTAAATGTTTAACCAATTTTAATTTGGTCATTTAAAATTGGTTAAAATGACCAAAAAAAATTGGTCGTTTGAATGCGTCTGAGACAACCAGTTTAAATTGGTCTTTTTAACCAAATAATTAATTGGTCAAATTGACCATTTATTTATTGGTCAAAACAACCAATTATTTCCGGTTGTTTTGACCAATAAATAATTGGTCAATTTGACCAATTACTTAATTGGTCAATTTGACCAATTACTTTTTTGGTTAAAACGACCAATTTAAACTGGTTGTCTCAGACGCATTCAAACGACCAATTTTTTTTGGTCATTTTAACCAATTTGTTTTTACTGTGCAGTAGACATCTATTTTTTGGCGTACCATCTAAAGATAGCAACAAAATATTATTAGCAATATTTTGCAGAAAAAAGTTAAATATACTTTTTAAGTTTGTTTGAATGTTGAGAAACGTATCAAAAATGCAAAAATTTGAACATAGTCATAATCAAGTGGAAAAGTATATTCATTCTTTTTGAGCGCGTGTTACGTAAAATACAAAAGATTCTCCTCTTATAGTAATGACATATTATTCTTATTCTTATTAATCAATTGATAAATTACATATCGAGTGTTACAAAAACAATTTTTGAAATATATTACAAGTTTAAAAATTTTTAGGTTATATTAAATTTGCCTAGCTAAATTATATCTAAAAATACATCTATTGATGAAACTATTTTTAAAACGCTCGGTAGAAATGTTTGGCCACTGTGCCTCTTGTGTTCTAAGTTTAACTGTATAACTGTTTAACTCTTGTGTTCTAAGTTTAACTCTATTAACGGATGATTGTTTTGTTTACACAGGTTTTCAAACAGCTTTCTATCTGTCTGATCAAACAGTATATCAATATCTATCTTCTTTTATAACAACGAGTTAAGAAGTTTTGAATAGTTGTTAATTCCGGTGGTGATGCAGCAATAACTGATAAGCCATAGATAAGTTGTGACAGGACCAGTGACCTAAAAAGATCTGACTCGTCTTGACTGTATCCTTCATTCCTCAGCTTTCGAATTACAAACAAGCATTCAATTTGCTTTCACCAACTTTTTCTCAATACATTTCTCCAATCTGCTTATCATTGCAAAGATTAGCCCCAGTATTTCAAGATTAGAGTGCCGTTCAAAACCATAAATTGTTGTTACACAATCCTCTGATCGTCCTTTCTTTAATATAATCATTTCTCTACATTTACCCTCATTTAAAGGTAAAGAGTTTGATTCGGACAACACCGCGGAAAAACGTCTGCGCATGCAACAAATTATGAAAATATGGCGGGGAATTTGAATATCAATTTCTAAAACAAAAACATGCTTATTAATTGGTCAAAAATTAGTAAAACAAACGAGAAAATATAGCAAATGGGTAGACTAGACATTAATTGAAAGCGTCCTGGCATTTAAAGTATGGAATGAAATATAATTCATGTAAAAAATTGTTGATTTTAACGGACACGACTTCGAAAATTTTTTCAAAATTATTCAAAACAAAAATTCAAACTAAAAAGTTAAGAAAACTCTCGAAAAGTTAAGCTTCTTAACCCACTCAAATTGTAGAATAAATCCTATAGTTTAATTATTGTGAACACGAAAATTTTTTATATTTGGCGACATAGTTTTTTTTAAAGAAATGTATCTCAAACGAAAATTCGGAAATTGTCGTTGCTTAGTTGATAAACAAAATGTTTCAGACGATAAATTTGTCAACAATCACATTTAGTTCATGTTCTTGTACAATACAATTTCTAGAACCTTTGGCAGTATTTAGTCCTAGTTTTTAGAATGACATGTTTATTTTTGCGCTCGAAATCTGGCTGTAAAGACGCACAATGAAGTCACTCCTTTTTACCGCCATTTTGAGCCTTCGGAAACGTTCGGAACAGCTTCTCATCAAGTTCGCAATACTATTACAGGTAAGGTTGACGCATGCGCAGACGTTTTTCCGCGGTGTTGATTCGCACCAGTCCTTAACCCTATTTGTACCGGGGGTGCGCACAATGAGCGCACCCCTATAAATATTT